TTCCTTCCTTCCTTCCTTCCTTCCTTCCTTCCTTCCTTCCTTCCTTCCTTCCTTTCTTTTTCTTTTCTTTTTTTTTGAGACAGGGTTTCTCTATGTAGTCTTGTCGGTCCTGGACTCACTTTGTAGACCATGCTGGCCTCGAACTCACAGTGATCCTCCTGCCTCTGCCTCTCTGAGTGCTGGGATTAAAGGTGTACACCACCACCACTAGCTTTCAACTTCAATTTTTTTTTTAATCATTCCAAAAAGAAACCTCATACTTCCTAGCCATAACTCCCAGTCCCTGCCTCTTCCCCCATTACTGTAACCATTAATCTGCTTTCTGTCTACATACATTGTCTATTCTGGACATTTCTAGGGCATGGAATCATATGCCATGTGCTCTTTTGTGTCCAGATTTCTTCACTTGGCATGTGATTTATACTATAACCTTTATTAGAACTTCATTCTTCCTTGTGACTGAATAAAATTCTACATTATGAATCTACCATATTTTACTTGTCCATTATCAATAGTCCAGTAGACATCTGATTATTATATGTAACAGTGCTACGAACATCTTTATACAAGTTTTTGTGGGGATGTAGTATATGTAGTCTTCTGTATACTCAGGTTCCAAATTGCCGGGTCCACATGGCAGATCTAGCATAGTTCTCTCCTATCTTTATCTGAGTTCCTGGGATTGAACTCAGGTCTCCAGGCTTGCATAGTAATGGCCTTTACCTATGGGGCCATCTCACTGACCCAGTGTTAAGGGCTTTTTTTGTTTGTTCTTTTGAAATAGTCTCTCCTGTAGTCCAGGCTAGCCTTAACCTTGATACATAGCTGAAATTTGTCCTAAATTGTTGCTGTTGCTTCCACCTCCTGAGTTCTGGGATGGCAGGTGTGTACTACCACTCCTGACTTGCATCAGATATTGTAAGATATCCAGATATGATTGGAGTCTACAGATATGGGTAGGTTCTGTGCAAATGTTACACCATTTTACAGGTGTATATATGAGTACCCATAAATTTAGATATCTTAATAGGCTCCAGAAGAAAGGTGATTATACTTAGTGGGAACTGCTGGGCCAGAGATGTGACAGACTCAGATTTTTGTTATAAAAATTATGCTGGCTGGGAGTGGTGCACAGCTTTAATCCCAGCACTTGGGAGGCAGAGGCAGACAGATCTCTGTGAGTTCAAGGATGGTCTAGATGGTGAGC